GTGATGAAATGAAAAAATGGACGCTGACCTTTAGTGGCGCGTAGCATAATTTATGTAGTTTGACAGAGATTTATATTCCTTTAAATAATATAGATTATATTCCTTTGAATACTAGATGTTGTTTTTTCATTTTTCGATTCGAAATAATATATTCATATATAAATCTCTGTCAAATTATGCAATGCTACGCGTGCCACTAAAGATCAGCGTTCACTTTTTCGATCGAATTATGCTGATATTATTAGGTCAAATATTTTAAATTTGCGCGTTCATTTCCGAGATAGACTATCGTTTTGTCGGCTCGTAACGGTATCTTTGAGCGATTACTTTTTGCGCGTAATCCTACAACTCGCCAACTTTCAGTGTCGCGTCCAATTGCCAATCGTCGTGCTAATCATTTAATCAATATTCAGAATGAGCGTACAAGAGAAAGATTAATGAAAATGTTTTTTTTTTTTTTAAATAGGAAAACCATTATGTTTTCGACGTGATGGCACGTCACGAATATCTGTGATCGGTTGTTTCTTTTTCGGAGAAGATAAAAGATAATGTGAAAGGTAATGTCCACACGTCTCGTATATCCAATACTAATTGTGAATTCGACAAACATAGCAAATATCTATCAAATGTTAAGATATGCCGCTCTTTCGAGCAGTTTTTCAGCAATTTCGAGCTGACGGCTAACGACAAGCTCTCGCTTTAGTCGCTCGTAATTCCAATAACCAATATTGCTTTTTCTTATCATTTTGCAGAGTAAAATCGAGGGGGGAAAATTAGTAGCGTTATCGATTCCAACGGATATTAGGAGTTGCTATTAGTTGTAATGTTAGATGTTAAAATTAAAGTGCACAAATGTCTCGTTAATCGACCAATTGGTCAACTTTCTGTTGAAACAAGTGTCAAGTATCGAGTGTCGAGTGTCGAGTATCGAGTGTCGTGTGTTGATGCAGGTATTCAAACAGACTTATTATTTTCGTATTTTCAAGATCACCCGTCTCAGAAAACAGAAAATATTGTCTCGATGACGAATGTAAATATTCGTTTCACGCACATATCTCTCTCTCTCTCTCTCTCTCTCTCTCTCGTACCGTTTCTCTTCTGCCGTTCTCATTACAACAGGTATTTTTCTCGCTTGTCGATTGCGAATGTACCGAATGTACCAAACACGGTCGCTCGGTGTAAAACGTTAAAATTGCCGTTATAACGGCAATGCACAGGTACAGGTACGTATATAGGCGTACTACGTGGCTATATGCAAAGCCGGAGCAATGCCGGACACGACGTGGATTCGTCGTATTCGATATCGCACAACTATGCGGGGCGAGTTACGTATGCCTCGCGAGTTACGATCGCTATTACCACTTGTGTACCACGAAACGCTGTCGCTTGTTACATTGCGCCATTGCGCAACTTTTACATTTAAACGTACGCCTATATTTTCGTGCCTATATCGCGAGGTTCCTACGGAAATACGGTTGTAGTAGTATGTCTGCATTTCGAATTTTATTTCAGTAGAGAATTTATTTCAGTAATTTATTCAGCCGATATCGAGTTGTGAAATTTATGACACACTCTTTGACTTGAAAGAAGAAGAAAAAAAAAAAAAACTTGATCGACTTGAAAATCTTTGAAATCGCGTATGCGCGATGAAAAAAAAAAAATTGCAAGCCAACAATTAAGTAGAATCGGCGTGAATTGATGTCAGAGAGAGTTAGATAGTCAGTTTTGAAAATCGAGATTGTCTAATTGATCGACTGACCGACTGACTTGACTTCTCCGATTGATTTCGAGCGAGAGCATGCGAGAGGTGTATCAAAAAAAGTTCAAAAGTTTTCCCTTTCAATGGCTCTCCGCTTCCCCGGCATTTATACGATACGATTGAAATTTTGATTGCAGATTTCAAAAGTGTGATTTCAAGCAGAGCAGAGAAATTTCAAAATTCTTTCAATCAAAATGCCGATGGAATTTTTAGAGCGGTTACCCATCCCGAATTTCCGGGTGTATACCGCCATAAGTTTCACCATACTATCCTGCTCTATATATTATGCCACTCAAATAATCAAGGATCCCGCTTGGAGAACGAATCATACGCACGTCGATGTGGGAGCCCACCCTGGAAACGACATAGATCTGACCGATTCGAGAAGCCTTGGCACACATTTCAAGGAACTTGTAGAATGTATGGTGGCGGAACCTATCTGTGTTTGGGTATGTTTATTTATTTATTTATTTATTTATTTATTTAAAGTGAACTTAAGAATACACATATGATATTAGATAGTATCAAAGGCAAAGGTTTTCTCTAATGCTGATACGCTTCGTGTACATTTTACCTTTTCGATATCACATATTTGTCGAATTTCTCACGTTCTTTGAAAATCTTTTTCACGTTCACGTTTTCGAGTGACGTGCATATATTTATAGATTGTATTTACACGCGAGTAAACAGGAAGGTTTCGCGATTCTGTGCTTTTTCATATCGTAGCTATAAAGTGATTCATAAAAAAATTGTAGCTTTTTCTTATAACTAATAGAGCGATGATTCAAGTATCATTATACTTGTTAATTAATTAAGGCAAGAAAAAAATAACGTCGATGAATAACGAATGAAAAGAAAAAGATTATTAAATCTAATAATAACAATACTGTTGCATAATATAGATGCAAATTTTTCATTAAATGGAATAAATGGTCTCATTCACGCGACATTTGTAAATCTAAATTTAAAGCGGAAAATTAATAAGATATTTAAAGTGGATAATTAATAAACTTTAAGTATAGAAAATTATGTAGTATCTGCCAATTGAACCGCATTTTTTTCCCGTATGGCATTATGTGTTTTGTTACGTGTGCGCGACGACTATGCGATTATCGCGTGATTACGTCTAGATATTGTTCCTTTCGAATGAATACGTATCCCGAGTTTATTTTTGCGTTGCACTATCATTCACCTTAAGAAACTCATATTCTATGTCTCCATCCGTGTTACATAAGTACGTTAATTTGCATTTGCATCACATAGTATAATATGTGTAAAAAAAATTTTCTCCCTCTCCCTCTCATTCTTTGTAAAACTTATCAGAAATTATATCATTTTCATGATGCGCGCGCACACACACACACACACACACACACACACACACACACACCACACATATATATATATATATATATAGTATAGTAGTAGTAGTAGTTACGTTATTACGTTACGTTAGTTTATTTATTTGTTTGTTGTGTGTGTGTGTGTGTGTGTGTGTGTGTGTGTGTGTGTGTGTGTCAATCTTTTATTGTTAAAATGTTTTGTTAATCTTAAAAATTTACTTTTTGTTCGACAAACAAGATTAATAAAGAAAAATGTTTAAAATTATTATTTTATGACGGTGATATAATATTATAAGATGTAAAAGTTGGTTTGTGCCATACGTAATCTTATACGAAAAGTTTTACGATTTGTCGATCTAGTCTCCATCATAATTTTCCAGTAATTTGTATCTCGGGTAGTTGTATCCGCGTGCTTCAAAATAGTTGGCGAGATATTGAAACAGAGAATGTTTGAGCTTAAAATTAGATGGCCTTTCTATCATTTGGCAACGATAAAGCAATACTTATTTCAACTATCTGTTTAGGATGAGCGTATCAAAAAATATCTACTTTGTTTCGCTTTTGTTGCAAGATGTAAGAAATAAAAGTAGGATTAATTCAAAATGCGTATCTTATTTCTTCTGAGCGTAAGCATTTAGTCGGATTATCGATATTAAAAAGGAAAGAATGAAGGAAACAAATGATTACGCTTTTGAACTTTTTGATTTCTTTCTAATAGATATCGAAGATAATCTAATAGAAATCGAAGATATATTCGATATATCGCTATATTTATATTTTTTTTATAATTATAGACTTTAATCAACATGGCCTATTGCATGTTGATTCTTCTTGGCAAAACTATCCAGAAACTTGTATTTGGTGAATTACGTGCTTCAGAGAGCCAACATTTGAAAGACAAGTTCTGGAATTTCATTTTTTACAAATTTATCTTCGTTTTTGGAGTTTTGAATGTACAGTACATGGATGAAGTTGTACTCTGGTGGGCATGGTTTATGGCGCTCGGCTTTCTGAGTCTTCTTAGCCAACTTTGTAAAGATCGATTCGAATATGTGAGTATGAAAAGCACAATATGAATATTAATTGTCAAAATAGTTTTTTAGTCAGTCATGAATATAGCGGAAATATCTTTTTATCGATTTTGAATGCTCTGTAGAATGTCTGTTGTATGTTTGCTGTATGTCAATTTAATAAAATATTTATTTGAAAAACATTCTTGTTAGACCTGTGCAAAACTTGAAACATTGTCAAAATGTTATAATAATACGTAAGAAATATCATGTCTAATTCGTGTCATCTCTAATTCCAGCTGTCCTTTTCACCTACCACGCCAGGATGGAGTCACGCGCGACTTCTTGGATTATTGGCGGCAATTCTTGTGCTATCTTCCTTTATGCTTCTATTCTGCATTGCTGCAGCTTTCTTCTTTATATCTTTCAACACTTTTGCTTTTATGGCAGCTGAGGTAAGCTATAATCAATTACTTTTTCTGATATACAATTTTACGATTGTTATCTACCAGAATCATTCACAATTTTTAACATTACACACCCACACACACACACACACACACACACGCGCGCGCGCGCGCGCGCGCGCAGAAACGCTCGAGTAAAAATTCTTTATTAAATCAAACTTAAAAGTAATTAAAAAAGTACAATATTCTCTAATTATAAAACGTTACTTCTTATCACCATTTTATGTAAAGAATCACTTGAATTAAGAAGAATCAGGAAAAACGCAAAATCTATTGTAAACTTAAAATATTATAGGTCCAAAATATAATTGACAATACTTCATACATGTTGACATTGATATATTGATCTTATTTGTACAATTCTTTCGTTTAATTCACAGTGTATTTTACTCGGAGTTCGTACGATTCATGTAATGCTACGTTACGTGATTCATCTGTATGATACTCGTGGTGCCGGTACCTCGGCGCAACGTTCTTGGGACAAACGTGGTCCCTTGACTTACTACACAGATTTGATTTCGGAATTGATTGTACTGGCAGTTGACTTCTTTCATCATGTTCACATGCTTCTATGGAGCAATATCTTTTTGAGTATGGCATCGCTAGTGATTTGTATGCAATTGAGATATCTGTTTTATGAGATACAACGGAGAATCACAAAACATAGAAACTATTTGGCTGTATTAAATCATATGGAGCAAAAGTACGTGATATCTTATAATGTTTATGTACAATTATGTTATCATTTTGTATTTTTTTTATTAAACTTCATAACACACATAATTTTATAAAATACATAGAATATGTTATATATATATATATCTTTGCATTTTATTTATTTTATTATATTGAAAATCATTACTGAAACTTTAATGAAAATTTTAAATATTATTGAAAAGCATTAATTATGATCTTTTTTATATTTTTATTTTTAACGTAAATAATAATGGAGATGTAATATTATAAGCCTACATTTTACTCCATGTTAATAAATATGTAGCAATTCATAAGATCTTTTGTAATCACATTAAATTATGCATTATCAATGATTATTTAAAAATAAGTAATAAATAACTATACCATTTATAGTTATCCAATGGCTTCACAAGATGAACTAGCCGAGAATTCTGATAACTGCGCAATATGTTGGGAAAAGATGGAAAGTGCTCGCAAGTTACCCTGTACGCATTTATTTCACAACTCGTGCTTACAATCATGGTTAGAACAAGACACATCATGTCCCACTTGTCGATTGGGTTTGAGTATGCAAGCGAATCATAGAGAGATCGCTCCAGAGATGCCACTCGAGCCACAGACCCCGACAAGAAGAAATGGTAATCATTTCTTCCTCTTTCTCGATGCTTCGAGATACGTGTCTTGGTTGCCTAGTTTCTCCGTCGAGGTCTCGCACAATAGATTACGTGGTAACATATCTACGTTGGCGCACACTAATTCTCTGATGGATGCTATGGCAAGACAGGTAACGGTATCACGTTATACATAAAGAGAATAAGGCCAACTTTAAGATGTCTTTTACACAAAAAAAAAATTTTATCATAATAAAACATCTTTATTAGGTACAACAACTTTTTCCTCATTATCCTCGCAATATAATCCTAGAAGACCTTAGAATGACTCGGTCGGTTGAATGGACAATTGAGAATATACTCGATGGGATATTAACTATACCACATCATTTAATCGAAGAACCGGAAGGAGAATCCGTCCCACAAATGCAAACGATGAATGTTACCATGCCCAGCTCTTCGATCCAAAATTCATTGGATCCTAGATTCGATATTCCATTTGCCGACAGGTAAGAAAAATGAAAAGAGAGAACAAAGAAGAGGAGTGTGAGAGAGATGACGCGCTATCTGTATTCTCTTTTCTCTTATCTCTTTTCTTTTTTCTTCTCTCTTGTTATTTCTTCGCCTGAATTCATAATATGTAGTGATAAGTATATTATTACTTTTATAGTGGAGAAGAACCTTCGAGTCTTGGTGGTCGTTTTTCAAAATCGTCCACTGAGAGAGAACTTATACTTCAACGACGAAAAGAGCATATGCGATTAACAGCGCGCAGAAGGTATTTGGAAAAACATCGAAAATCCGAGATTGATTCGACAAATTCGCAGAAAACGAATACTGAAAATACTACGTCGTAGATATAAGCAGAGATACCTGTTGATACGATTTCGACTTTAGATTGCGCAAACCTCATAGTTGACATTAAATTGACGGGCTATATCTTCTTTTTTGGATACGAGACGGAACGTACATGTATACTCTTTGCTGATGACTGATTATGAAAATACAGCAAGAGCATATTGAAGATCTCCTTGTGTATTTAAAAGTTAGTGCTCTTAACGTTCTCAGAACGGCAACTTGAAGTCACAGCCAAGAGATTAGGCGCGACTTTTATGAATATCGAAAGGTTGTGAATGGTATATACACGAACGATTAGAATTGAACTAATTACTCAATACCATCAAATTGTGATGAAAGCTATAATAAAACGACTAAACTGTAACAGAGGAAGGTATTGAGATTTTTATGTGACTTATTTAAATATAGACTGGTGGTAAAACATTAAATGTCTACAGCAATGTTTAATACATGCTTTTCAGAAAAAAGTTGTTGGTGAATAATCTTATCGGATTTTTAACAAGTCCAGTCCAGTTTCTAATAGATTAAAATCCTTGCTTTAAAATTTTTTATCTTATATAATTTGTGCAACAATCTTTATAAAAATTTATAAATGGATTAAAAAACGGATAGAAAGAGAAAGAAAGAAAAAGAATTCTGGTAAAATAGTTACAGTAAATGTTAATTTAATGTTGTATGTGTTTAGTGCCATAAATGAATTGAAATGACATGTGCCAATTTTAATGAGTATAGATTCAGTTGCGCTCGTTAGAGTTCTAGTAGCTGTTTCTAAAAAAAAAAAACAAAAAATGTATGAACATATAAAAAAATTGGACATGTATGCATAAAAATATATCTACTGACTAATAAAACGCAGGCAATGATTAATGATTTATCGATAAAAAGAATATAAGACACAAGATTCTTAATTCAGAAGTACAACTAGCTATACTATGTTGTGCCTGTAACCAAGTTGAATTTAAGAAATGTACATGCTTATGAATCTATTAAGAAAAGAAGAAATTCTCTAATTTCAGGCAATGCAGATATATTTATGTTTCGGAAAGCGTCCTATATTTGTCCTATATTTAAGATTTATATTTCGAATTGATCTTACAAATTAAACGAATTTGTCTTGCACAAATGCGAAAAAAATAGAGTAACGAGTTGTAAATCTTGTATATAATTTTTAGTTTCATATGTAATAAATAGGGGCCGGAAGTTTGCTAGCTTCGACGAATCTTCTTGCAGCGTTGAACAATATTGAATATATATATATATATAAAATTGTGTACACACATACACACGTTTATATATATATATGTATGTTGAAAACAATTTCATCAGAATTTAGATTTATTATATTATCGATAATAACAAGCTGGACGTTTATTTACAAATAAAATGCGACACTAGCAAAAAGTTTTTTGCTAGGTGTACTACTACAGATTGAAATTGTTAAAAATTATACATCGTATATTTAATCCTTATTTTTAACAATGTACAAGATATTGTTTGATTACTTTTCGTTTGTATCTAATATCAATTGCAAAAAATATGTAATTATTCTATATCGCTTTGCTTAAAACACAAATAAAATCTATCGTCCATATACTTCGTATTTGCATCGTGACGAGTTTTGATGCAAAAACTCATGAACTTCCGAGCCTTTAATAATAAGTAAGTTTTATCATGCTTGAATATATATCGTATTTTTCTAATTATTAACATTTAAAAATTTTCAAAGACTTTTATATTTTATGGTTTATTATTTATTTTCATAACAATGCAATCTGCATTGTTTAAACTTGTATAAATTTAATAATCATATTTTCTGCTTTTCAGTTTTTTCTAGCTTGATCACGTGAATTTGACATATTTATCTGTATATTCATACGTAAATACATATAGTACACATTTACAAGTGTCGTATATATCTGTAGGATGTAAATATATATAGGATGTGCCACACTTACGATTAATGTGATAACAGATTTTTTTATTAAATTTAGAATCGAGTTTTTTCTTTCAAAATATAAAGCCGAAATGTACTTTAAATAAATATATTTTAAATAAAGATTGTACAAAGAATTTATATTGTACAATTAGTTTCGCATCTGAGTCTCATTAGCCTTGTTTTTGAATTTCTGTTTCTTTTTCTTTCAATTTTTCAGCATTGTAATTTTTGTATCACAAATGGTAAATTTAAATTCTAAGAGTGAAGGAAAATGGAGAGAATTAAACTATTAGAAACTTATTAGGGAATATAAATGTATATAAGATGTAAACATGTACTTGTCATTAGAATTAAGTTAATATTGTGGAACATCCTGTATATTGGGATACATTTTTTGTAAAAGTACACACAAACACACACACACACACACACACACACACACATATTGTGAAAACGCTGCATTTAAAAGATGAAAAAAATTTATTTTACTAAAGATGTCGATATACATCATTATATTAAAAAATTTTATAGGTAGCTTTATTTACATCGAATTATATATACATATATTTTATGGATCTCTAAGTTGCGTCAAGTAGGTAATGAATGAAATATATAATACAATTTTTATTTGAGACAACTTTCTGCGCGTGACGTACACAAAATTTATTTCTATTATAGGTTTCGTTAATAATATATATATAATAGTATGTTGAGAATAACTTTTAGAACATTTAAGTTATTTTGTTTCATAGGTATATCTAAAATAAATTTATTAAGATAATATACAAGAAATATAAATTATTATTCTTGTTAATTGCCTCTAAATGTGTAAATAAAACATGTATGAAAATACATACATATATGAATTCATAAATAAAAGAGCTTTATTAAGTATTATAAATTATATTGCTTTGGGGAAACATAATATTCGACTAGTTTGACAAGTTAAGAATAATCTAATAATGCTTTTCCGTATCTTTGGAAGCTATAACTTTGTAAGGTAGTATCTTTTAAAGTTCTCTCTTAGTATATTTGTAAATATCAGTATCCTATATCTCCATATCTCTTCTATCACATTTTAGTGATGTAATAATACTTATTCCAATCTTAACATTGTACAACTAGTGAGACAAATAAAATGCATTATAGATTGTTGTAATTATGTATCTTATTTATTTTACATGAATGTAAAGTTTCTATTACACAGCACTGATAGTCATATTTATTAGTGTATTACTTTTTCACTACATTAGATAACGTAGTAAATTAACATATATTACATTTGTATGGATAGTCTTATATCAATATAAATATTTCCCAATAACTTTATGTGGCTTAAGAACGAAATCACACGAGGGTGTTGTATTTTAACACAAGAAAGAAAGGAGAAATAAAGAGCAACAAGGTTATGGTTATCTTTTCATTAATTTTATTAAACAATTATGAGATATTCAAGTGAAAATTAGATTAACAATAGAAAAACATGATATATTTTAGATACAATTTATTCTTTAAAATAACGCTGATGATCTATCATAAAAATATATCACACAGCTATGTATCTCATCCAATGAAATTCATGATAACAATATGTAAAATGATTTGTGCAAAAATAAAGTCTGCAAATCCTCTTTCCGGGCTTATACCGTGAAACTGACTTCTATTTTGTGGATTAACTTGCAATCGAAGACAAACTGAAAAAATGTAAACAATCAGAAAGCCATACCTTTGAAACAGAGTGAAGAGAGACAACTTAACGATTACTTTATACATGAGATTTTTACAAAATATATCATCTATCGCATCGACATTTGGAGATTCACATCAATTATGTAACAAAGGGATAGAAAATAAATCCTTGTTCATATCTGTAACTGACATTGACATATGCGATATTGAAGAAACGATTAGCGATTAACGTCGTCGTGAAGAGTGGAGGAAGAGAAAACTCAACAAAACAATATAGATAACGACTGAACGTGTTTATTAGTAATTAATAATAATAATAATAATTACCTCCTAGAATGAAGCAGGATACACAGGATATGAAACCACTGAGAAAACTATTGAAGGGAAAAGTGCCGACGAGACAACAATATATAAATTGGATGACACCCGTAAGAAACACGTACAACAAGTACGCATCGATGATTTTGAGTTTTTTGGGCGTATTCTTCGTATATTCCAACCAGAATTTATGTAATACTGTCAATGCTGTCATGTTTATTGATTTTTATGTAAAATCTATGATAAGGCGAGATGAGAAGACTTTTCAAGACTTGTCGATACACGCGTGATAAGTGGCAAGTGCCGGTGACACGTATACTAACCTTAACGCATCTACCCGACGACCGATCCGTGAACTTGCGATATATGTGAACGGCAAACGGCAAGCGACAGCGACACGGTCACAGTCATGACGTAAGGAGACAAGGTAGACTATGCTTAAGTCAGGTGACAAGGTGTGCTCGTCACCCAATTTGGATTCGCAGATATGGCGTTGGAACAAATCGCCTTCCATATTGGAAAATAATAGTAAAATAAACAAATTTGTGACTACGTGACATATAATTTGATAATAAACAATTTAATAATTATTAATGATAAAAATCACAAGTCGTAGTTCTCAATTAAATAAATTTATTAATTGTCCTTTCTTTATTTATACTACAGTTTGATTATCGCAAGAGAAACGCTGATTGGTTGATATATTAATATGATCGGCTACTTGTTCCACCGTCCTCATTGGTCCATTCTCGTTTTCATGCGCAAGAGCACACCTTGTTTGCTTAAGGTGCCTTTTCATGCTGACGCTCGAAAATGATCATTCAGATTTCACTATTTTGTATTAATTTTGATCACGTGATCTAGTTTGATGCTAAAAATGAGCGTTAGCATGAAAATTTATAGAGATACTACCGATAGATGAATGTAGCGACATGAGCATGCTCCGTGGCCATATGTATGTGAAAAGTGCGCGAATTTGAAAGAAGTGCGCGTATATAGATATACTTAACATACATACGTGATACATTACTTGAATTTCAGTGATAAATGAATATATCTATTAAATCTTTGTTTTATTAAGAGAGTCTGTCCTGAACAGTGCGAGTATTGGTCGTAACTCACAAATGAATAACAAGAGAAACAAGAAAAGTCTTTCTCGTCAAAGCACATACTATGATGCATCTGCTTTTGTGATATATCCTATCTTGCGTAGAGATCTCGCTAATCTTCTCAGTACCCATTACTTTTAATATAATATAGACTCATCCATTTAGTAAGAAGATTTAATAAACATGTTTATTTATCATCGAAGATTTAATAAACATATTTATTTATCATTGAAATCTAAGTGATACATTATAAAAGTGATACATATACGTTTCAAATATTCGCACACTTTTTGCATGCGTATGTTGTTATCTTTCGTCGGTATGACAGATTTCCAAATATTTGAATAGTCGACAAATTTAACGATTATATTTTGGTTCGCGGGACAGAGCGACACTTTTTTCTGTCAAATTCTTTCGTTTCGTGCAAAAATAACACGTCGAATAAGCCTAATTTTATTGAAATTAATAGTGAGGAGGATAAACTTAATATTTATCAATTTCATGTAACAAGCTGATGTTATTTGTCGTCATTTTGACGACATTAGACGAGGTGATGAAAAATGACATCCAGATAACAACAAATAACGTCAGCTTGTCATTTGGAAATAGCTCTTTGTCGCTTTCTCTATCAATTGTTAACTTCATGTTGGAGAGCGAATATTGGCTTTACATATATGCGTGTGCGCGTGCGCGTGTGTGTATTGTTTCTTTATTATCAAAATTATTTAATTAAATGAAATTAATTTATGATACAAATTAATTTATTGATTTGATTTTTGTCCTAAAATAGCCATTGGCTGTCAATAAATTAATTTTTAATTTATTTTTATTTTTAAAATGCAATAATTGCTCCACTATTTAAGTTAATGGTATTTATCGGAGTTTTATAATATCAAGATTTTAAATATGCATCGTATTATAAATAAATATGTGCAATTAAAGTTATAGTAAAATGTAAGTAAAGTATTTATATATTTATAATATAATATATTTATAAGTATATTTATAAGTATATTTATAAGTATATCCCAATTAAATCTCTATAATTGTGATAATTTTTAATATATCAAATGTGTACATAGCATAGTAGGATCAAATAATATGTATTTCGATAAACATATTGAGAACGTTTTAATCAACTTTACTTCACATTTGATCACTATTTTTATATAAACACAATCATGTACTTTGTTTTAACCGAAAAAATATTTTTCCTCGAATCAAATCAATAGTTAATTTTAAATGTCTTAGTTCTACTTCTTAAATATTGCCAAAGTTTATATCATTTTAACATAATTGTTTCCAATTTATTTTATAAGTGGACAATTATGCAGTAATTGGAAAGTATGCTTTGTGTATACACATTTCTTGAAAGAGCTTTCGGTTTACAATTGAAATTGATTGGTAAAGTAGTGAGATTATGATAATTATTCCTTTATTATATGATTTTTCATTCTAAGCGGGTTATCATTCAGCGGAAAATTTCGTTCTCTAGAGAGATTTGTCAACAAAATTTTTTTCGTTCTCTAGAGAGATTTGTCAACAAAATTTTTCATCTCTTTAAAATTGAACAAGAGAATACATTTCTTTCATAATTTTTCCTTAACTTATGAAAAACGTATCGACGTATCGACATATCGAAATATTGACGTATCGCAATTTTAAGTATGTATGTACGTACATATACCAATAAATCATTATCGTATAATTTCAATTATCGCTCGTACACGTCACCTAGCGTAGAGAAGATTCGCGAGATCTAATTAATTAACGAGCAATTCTTGGAGAATTCAATTCATCTGGGATACACGTTTCAGATTAAATTATGACGAAAAAGATTCGAGACGAACGGCGGAACGCTGTACGTGCGGAAGTGCCGCAACCCTTCGATCGGATGCCTCCCTTCGGTCGGCCGCCGCTGGAGAGACGGAGAGAAAATGGCAGATGAATAGAAAGGCGTACCGAGTGTACTTGCGATGCGCCGAGCGGAAGGATGAGGTAAGAACCGACGAAGCTCAGTCTCGTGGAAGAGACTGCTTACTACTCCCTTGCCGAGGATGCGATTTCGATCATGCGTAAAAACGGCACGACTTCAAAGTCGAGCTGCTTCTTTCCCAGATATTGTCCCGTCTATTCGCTGTTCGTTGAGCACTCGTTCATATTCAAAAGATTCGCACAGCGATTCGCACAGAGATGATTTCGAACGTTTGTAAGAATTCGTATACGAGCTGTCAGCACGCTAACCCGCTACTATCGATCAAGCATGGTATTCCTCGTTCTTTCATTTTACATACAATATTTTATTTTTCCAATCAAGCAATATTTCAAGCTTTTACATATTATAATTATTATACTATATATCAATTTTATGTTACGAATATATATATTGCAACGTGTACCTCTTTTTCTCTAGAGAGAATCTTAGAAATTAATATCATTGGATTTATTATTAGATATATTCACAAGTTTCTATACTCATGCGCTAGATAAATTTATCTCTTACATAAGATATCGCCATTTTCTTTCTCACGAGACAAAGAATTTTGGAAATTGATAATCTCGATTTGTTATCACTTCGGCGGGGGGAAGGTATTTTTATGACGAGAAATGTTTCTTCCTTCGGTGAAAAACAACTTGAACATCTCACTCCTCTGATTTCAATATACAAAAGACGGTCGATATTATCTCTAGAAAAATTATTATCTCGGAAAAGTCTCGTGTGTCATTTTCTACATACGAATCTCGGCCATCAATTCTCTCCCCCTCTCAAATCTTGCTCGCTCGGCAATTTATCAGGATGGAATAGACCTCGTTAAATGTCGTCAGTGTGATCGACAATGTCCGCAAATCGGCACGGGAATGCGGCCGAGGGCCGGCTATTCTATTCGGCGCGCGGCGATACCGATCGCCTCGTCTTATAAATTATTGCAGGTGGTTCTCGACTCCGCGGGCTACGGAGGGTCCTTCAGGCGAGGTTGCTACCTTGGAGCACAACCTGACGAGTGGTGTCCTGACAAGCAGCCTGTTGCGTGACCCGAGCGATCAATATCTGTGCGGGCGCAACACCCGCGACTGCTCCTCGTGTCTTCGTATAAACTGACGCGCCTCTCGTACGCCTCTCGGCTGCGCTGCGTTTCCTTTTCTCCCCTGAGTTTAATCTTTTTCGCTTTGAGAAAACCTCGACACGGTGGTAACGTATCGTTCCGTATTAAATGCCAAGCCTGGCACGATACGACGGTCGTGACGGAAAATGAGACGCGCGTGCGAGCATTCGATGGGTATTTTTTTATCAAACTTGGACATGGGTGCACCGGACGAAACTTTCCAAACGATTCTGCTTCGATTTTATTTTAATTTTGTGGTCAAATTTGGTTTATCTTTTTCTTTTTATTTTTATTTTTTATTTATTTTGTGTGTGTGTGTGTGTTTTTTTTTCCGTAGCAAAAGGAATAAAAAGGAATAAAATGATAGGAGAACATTCGGCCGGATAATATGCTTTTCCAATCCGACGAGATTTTATATAAAGTTCCCGAGATTTTATATAAAGTTCCCGAGAGATTTCTCCTTGTCCTTAGAAATTTTATAATTAGACGAAGCT